TCTGCAGAAGCCTCAAGGACAAGATCCTGCATCTGACCACTTGTATGTGCATATATCAGTTTACCTGTTGCTGTGGAGTCAGGTACATTGGTCGTTCGACGCGTATCCTGTCCACGAGGATTCAAGAACACTATCCAGCATGGTTGTGAAAAGGCAATAGTGGTGCAATAAAGAGTGCGATAACCGTACACCTGGTTAACACTGATCATTTTATCTCAACAAACACCTCCTTCAAAGTAATCTACAGAGTCGAGAATAACCTACCAAAGGCAATAAGGTTTCGTCTTCTTTGTATCGCTGAAGCTCTGGCCATTCACATAGAAAAATCGGAGCCGTGCATACAAAAGAGAATTACTCAACCACTTCTACTGTCATGGTAACGACTTTGTTGATTTTGACGACCCAATTTTGTTTGTTTGCCTGTTCTTGAATTGCTTATAATTCTTGTATTCATTTAGAAAATCTTACGTAATTCCGTATTCTCTACTTTGTTCCTATGTGTATCTGAGTAAAACTCAATCATCGAAATATTCATATTATTACATAACTTCTTTTTAACAACTGTTTGTGACAACTCATCACCTTTGTTACTAACCTAATTTCATTAACACCTAATTTTCTTGACTGATTTTGTATTGCGTAACTTCAATTACCAATCTTCACCTGTTTAGTTACAATAATTATAACCAATTGTAGTTTTGTTTGACAAACTTAATGTACACATACATACAAAATAACATATATATATATTTGCGATTGTACAGCTAAAAGAATGAATTCGCCGAAAAGAAACTCTTCGCTGAACTATGTGTTTTGTTTTTGATTATAATAATAAGCAAAGGAAGTAAAGAAACTAAGAGGGTTTAAGGGAAGAAGCACTCTTGTTGAGAAGAAAAATACTATTTATTTTGACAACCCATAACTAATCTGTTATTCTGCGTCAAAATGTATACGCCGATAGCATTATTGTAACGGCAACTATAAATATTTCAAATTTTACTTAGCAGCCTACTGAATGATGGAGACCAAGAATGTTTTACCCGGAATGACTTCTTATCTGTGAACTTATGGTTATTATTTCAGAATTTAGGCTGAGATTCAAGTCAATCTCTCCGTGTTTGTTGCACGGTTCATGACATCGTATTATATAAATTGATTTGGTAAAACATTTGATAATTTCATTTCGATAAGATATTTTTCAATATTCCTGTTTTTGAAGTAAACTATTCTGACGTCAGATGTCAAAAGTTTTGATACATACATGTGCCTACAAATATTCAGTCGTCAATTCTCATTTCCAAGAATGTGTTTCAAATCCATTGCTATCTTCTACACAAATTCTCACCAGTTCATTTTCAGTTTTTCTAATATTTATTTATCTCATACAGCTAATCCATGTAAGAATTGTTTAATGCATGTATCTTCTAAACTATTTCCAATTAAAGCATAGATGTTGGAGACTGTGATCAAGTTGTCATAACGAGTGATGCAATATTGCCTGAATTTTGTTCTCATTGTTAAACGTAACATCTTCCATTGAAGGAAAGCATCATGCACGTTCATCTTACCAGTGACTGTAGATATAAATTCATATCCTACTTTCAGTAGGCGGTAGACAGATGACTCACAATTCACATTTTGTTAGATCTTATGCTCAAATATTAAGAATTAAGATACTGATTTTTTGTGCGTCAGTGGTGCAGTTGTAGAATGCTCGCCAACCACACCTCATGTGGTCTGGGGTTCGATCCCCGGCCAACGCACTCCTTTACCTCGCTAAGCCAGTAATAAAACTGGTAAAGAGAGAAGGTTGGGCATGAGGCTAGCAACCCCATCCCATGAAAACATAAACATTACTGCTATCGAAACTTCAAGCCTCTGGCTCTAAGCCTTATGTTCCACTGAGAACTTAAAGGAATAAAGAAATATTTATTCTTTGAACCATTCCTTTTTTCAGAGGCCTCATTCACTGTATAAATGGATTAATTCTTAAATCACTACTAAAATTAGTAGTCGCACAGTATATGAATCAATCTATAATGCTAATCAATTGGAGTTTCATATAAATCTAAATGTCTTGTTGAACAGTAAATATCCCCTCCCCACTTGTTTACTTGTTTATAGTGAGAGAAAGTAAGCCGAAATCGACCAATTCACTCTATGTATAACGATGATCTCTAGTCTTTTACTAATGGCCTCTTAATCAAAACAACTTCTGTGACCCGTTTTGCATACAGAACGGAGTCTTAGGATATACATTCATAAAAAGTGACAGGTAATAGCTGAAATAACAAACTTTTCCCATTAAAATGTTTTGGAATGTAACATGAATGAATAACACACAGTGAGAAGTTTCATTTGGTCATTGCGATCATTTGAAACTCGTTATACAAACACTTACTATAATTTATTCACAGGACCATAAACGGTACTGCGTACTTACATACTCAAGTTCATACCTAATGATTTGACAATTTATGCGACAGACTGTATGTAATTCATTTTTCTGCAAATAAAGTTCTACGAAGAATATGTTTTAAGAGGATGCCTCCTCGTAAAAATAAGTTAGATTTTCGCAATTTGAAGGATGGTAACATAATTACTCTTCAAGAAATTGAAATAATTTCATAACATTGGAACTTTCTGTGAGCAGTTTAGACAAGTGATGCGTTTTATGTCTATTAAACACACTGTTTTATAAATTTCTTGAAATCAGTCTTGCTTTTCCTGGTGATTTACTGAACCGAAATGGTCTGCTTCCATTGATATGTCGCTCTCTAGTATGGATTAACGTTATTTGGTAGGTAGTGATTAGCAGTAAAATCTAGGATGCGCATTTCATCCTGTCTGGTACTTGTCAGCTGCCATTTGAAACGAATGGTACTCGGCGTAAGTTTCACTGGAACAGCCTCATGGACTTCGTATTACAGGTGTATCCAGTTGGCGTGTCACAAATTGGACGAAATGCGCATGGTGGATTTCATGTATAGTCAGTATCCACCAAATAACAATCTTTCATTGATGAAATGCAAGCCCACATTCGGAAAATACGACACTTAGTAAATACCAAAATATAATCATTAGCAAGCGAAATTGAGTCGTGGTAAGTATAGCAAAGAAGCCGGATTGGTCTATAAGTACCTGGTGAATTCTTACGACAGACATTTCTAATGTAATCTGAATAATCAGCTGATTAGCAGTAGATAAAAGGTACCCAATTTGCATTAAAGTGTGGTGTTATCACAAAATCAGAATTATACATCAAAACATTACCAGACAGTGCTTTTCATATTCCTGCTGAATCTATTAACTTTACTCAACAGAATCGTATACCTTGGCTATATGTATGTGACCGTATGGCCTTCTGGAAATGAGGTGAATATGACCCAGTTTGTGTGTTGTATGGTATTACGTAACTAATCTGAAATAAAATGTCTGGCGTTCATTTTCCAATAGTCCAAACTCAGTATCAAAGTTGGCCCTGAATAACTAGAAATTAAACACGTTCTTTTGCAGCGTTGAACGCGTTTGTTTGCAGTTATTTCCCCAAGTAAGTCTAGTCCCTATTAATCGCATGTCGTTTGTTCAAAGGAGATCTTTGTCTTAAAGTACAATTGTTATAAAACATCGACCAATACCAAAATTGTAAACATATTACTATGTATTAAGGTAGACAGTTATGAAAGAAGAATTGAATTCGGGAACTGCCGTTGATTATAATTTAATTATAGAAATTTATAGAAACAAGCAGTGAAAGAGTTATGTACATTGAAACTGAAAACGCTGTATCTCTCTGTGTTTAAATCAAACAAAATTATTTTACGACGGATTGAAGGGGTTCTGAATCTTGTTTAAATCAAGTTTACCTAATTTAAAAACAACAAGCAAATATAATAGGATACTTCTCACCACTACATTTTAAGATTTACCTGTCAATTTGTAAATAGCTTTTGCCTTAAAAGTGTGAGAATACCTCTTCATTATAAGTGTCTCAGTAAGTCGAGTTAAGGACATATTCACCTCCTTGAGATACCGTGCAGACCACTTTGCCTACTTTTTGAGATCAGCTTGAACAAATGACCAGAAAGCCATTGAAACTAACAACTTAACGGATGTAACTTCATCACTATAGAGCCCGTTAAAGTAACTTAATGAGGTTCAAAACAAAGTCATCAGCCCAGAGATATAATCTTATCGTTTTTTTCATTTTTTTTCAGTCTATGTAAGTTTACTAGATGGCTGAATGCTGTTAATGTCATTTATGAATTCTAAGCATCATAATCGAACCACCATGACGATTTCTCAGGCGAATAACTTTGAAAAGGCGTAAATTACAGCCAACTGAAGAGTACCTGTAGTTGAAGCCACGACTACATTCACTTCCACAATATCTGTATAGTGAATTTATTGTAGTGTGGTATCATAGTATATTCGCATTTTTCATTCAGATCCTATTGATCAAATTCCAGTGTCTACGTTTAAATATTTAACACGTTGTATCGCTTGTTTTAAATGGATTTCAGATGAATCACTTTTTATCGATGAAGCAGAAGTCTTCAGAAATACTATCGTAGAGACGCAGATAATTTCCGTCAGATATTAGGCTACTTCTATCTCTGCTTGGTCAGCGGAGTATTTAGGAAATCTACACAAAACTAGGTATTAGTGAATAACTTAGAGAATGAATGGCGTTTTACTTCATATCTATTCTCGCTAAACGTCTTACATTATAACAGTAGAAGGCAAGACACGGAAGCCAAGGTATATTTTCAAGTGATCAAGCCGTATGCATATATATATAGTTTTATATTCTTTAACCAATCACTGAGCGTGTGATTTTGGTTTACAATAAACGACATAAAACAGAATGTTTAAATACACACAGTATTCTGTTGCTAATCCCGTATTGAACTGTGGGAATATGTGAGAATAATATTTCGTTGGAACACATTGTTCGTATCACATATCTATGACACTAGATACTGAATAAAAATGTGACACCTAATATAAAAAAAACTTGATTTATATTAAATAAGGCTTCCCCTTATCTTTCTCAACTATTTTAGACTTTGAATAGAATTGTTCACACTACCTGGTAAAATGAAAGGATGATACAGCCGACAGAAAGCGAGTTCTAAAAGACATCTCTTTAAACTTTAGTGATAAATGTATTTTAAATAAACAGCTTTTTTATGAATAAACAAATTTCACTTTTCTAACTTCAAATGGTATCTGAATTTGGACATAAAAGCTGAATATGACAGTTAAGTGTGTCCAGCATCCCCCAACAGACCATACATGACTGATTCCCCATGATAACAACTAACAAAACAATCAAGATGAGAAATTCGTTTCGAACTGGAAATATATTTATCACGTAGTGAAAATAAGATACTTGGACCTCATATGAAACCGTTGTTGAGTTCCATAAATCTGGTCACCTCTGTTAATTTTTCATGAAGCAGGGTAAACTAGCTCTGTAGTGGAAACGGTATAGTTGTGACTTCCAGGTTCTCAGCATGAGACTGTTAGAAATACTTTACGTTACAGAAGTTACTAAAAACAGAAAAAACAATCCAGGGGTAACAGAAAACTTTGCGAAATTGGGGATCCAAAATCGAGATGATCAGATTAGATTAACACCGAAGTTTCTAGCTGAATGGTCATCAGTTTACTTGCATTAACGAGCAGACATTTCGAGAAGAGTAAAATTACCGAAAAATTAGGAATGATTACTAATAATTTAAGGGGAAATGTGGTAATTTTAGAAATCACAGATCTAATCCAACTGATTGGACATCAGATATTCATTTTGAAGTATGAAATGGAAACTATTCTCATGGTCTTTTGACAATCAGAGTTCAGTAACAGAACTTGAAAATAACACGTTTTCAAAACGCATATAACTCATAATCTAATTCTTAGGGACTAATACATTAAGTCAATGCGTGCGACAGACTCCTACAGCCAACATCAAGGATGGGGAGAAATAGAAGTTTTAGAAATTAAGTCCAACAGATAGTGTAAGCTTACCTGTGGGTGATGTTAAAACCATGTCTATGCGTTATTTAGTTGCTGCTGGCTATAAGTGGAATCCAGAACATTTGTTTGATTTGTACTTGAGATTTCTCACTGGCACGTGTGTGAATCGCCAGTGAGTGGCGGCGTTCCTGCTGAAACTCAAACCAAACATCTGTCGATTAAGACATCAAAGCCTTATCAGCTAGGAACAATGGGAACGCTGCTATTCACTGGGATGCCTTTAAATCCATCTCAGGTATCCCAAATAATATGAACTAAAAATCATTAATTCCGCTGCTACATCCTACCAACCATTTAGTATTGTATTATCTTAAAGACATGGTCAAAGCGCCCATATTATTACCTGACATGTCAACAGAGACAGGACATTTTGACGTTACAACATCAGTTAACGGGAAATCCGAAAAT